TGAAGTGCTGGGATTACAGGCATGAGCCACTGCGCCCAGCCCAATTATGCATTTCTTTTTCTTTCTTTGAGATCAAGTCTTGCTCTGTTGCCCCAGCTGGCGTGCAGTGGCGTGATCTCGGCTCACTACAATCTCTGCCTCCTGGGTTCAAGTGATTCTTGTGCTTCAGCCTCCTGAGTGGCTGGGAGGTCCTCCCAGCAACAACCTATAGTGGCTGAGCAGCAGCCCCTTGGCTGGGCCCCACACCCTCTCCTTTGCCACAGTCCCCACCATGCCTTCCTGCCTGCTAGGCCTAGTGTGCTCCATCCAGACATCATTTCTGCTACCATCTGCCCCTGTGGTAACTTGGGTCTGTGACCCCAGCAATCCACACTGTTTGTTTTCTATGTGAAAATTTTCCCATGGTTCTTTTCCTCCATGTTTTAAAGTGCATATATATATAAAATTACTTTTTGTACTATTCTAATGTAAGCATATATAAAAATTGACATATTTCCTATTTTTTGGGATATTTAAATGGTGTTGCTAAATTTATACAACTTTAAATAACTCAGTGAACAGTTGCAGACAGAACTTTGTGAACTTGTCCAACTGTCTCCTGAGGATAACCTTTTCTAATTAAGTGGAACTCCCAGATCAAGGACACACACTACATCTTCTGATTTGTACACCGTAACTGCCCACTATGCCCAATTACAGTGTAGGAGATGCCAACAAATCTGAAAATTACCTACTAGCAGCCAGGTGCTATTTTCATTTCCATTTACTTGATTATTGGGGTGGCTGTTAGTCAATTCCACCAGATTGTGGCCAGGTACAAAGGCAAGCAGCTTTTTTTTTTTTTTTTTTGAGACAGGGTCTTGCTCTGTCACCCAGGCTGCAGTGCAGTGGCACGAACATGGCTCACTGCAGCCTTGACCTCCCAGGCTCAAATGATCCTCCTGCCTCGGTCTCCCAAGTAGCTATGACGACAGGCGAGCACCACCAAATCTGGCTAATTTTTGATATTTTGTAAAGACGGGGGTCTCACTATGTTGCCCAGGCTATTCTTAAACTCCAGGATGCAAGTGATACTCCTGCCTCGGCCTCCCAAAGCACTGGGATTACAGACATGAGCCATTGCACCTGGCCAGCAAGCAGCTTTTTTCCCTACTTATAATTCTTTTTTTAAACTTCCTCTGTCCATTTTTGAGTTGAGGTGAATAGACCATAGGGAGACTCCTCAGTATAACATCTTCCTCCACACACATTCTGGCTGGGTCTGTAATGGCTACTACTTCCTGTCTTGCTTGCAGCTGGGGAAGCATGTCATTAAGTTCTGGCTGATAGGACTGAAGAAGAAGTGACCTGTTGCAGCTTCTGGAAGCCTAACATTACTTAAGAGATAGGTAAGCAGTCTCTTTAGCCTTACTCCACCCCTTTGCTGCTTGGAATGTGGATTTATCAGCCAGAGCTCCTTTTTAGACAATGACCACATGTGATCTAGGGGTGGCAGAATAGAATGCTGGAAGCAACTGGATCCTAGATAAGAGGTGCTAGACCGTCCCTGAGCTGTTCACCTCTGTACTTACACACAGAGGAAAAATACACTCCTGTTTTTCTTTTTTTTTGAGATCCCAAAGTGCTGGGATTACAGGCATGAGCCACCACATGTGGCCCCACCTTTTTTTTTTTTTTTTTGACAGAGAGTCTCACACTGTCACCCAGGCTGGAGTATAGTGGCGCAATCTCAGCTCATTGCAATCTCTGCCTCCTGGGTTCAAGCAATTCTGTCTCAGCCTCCTGAGTAGCTGGTATTACAGGTATGCAGCACCACGCCCGGCTAATTTTTACATTTTTAGTAGAGACAGGTTTTACCATATTGGTCAGGCTGATCTCGAACTCCTGACCTCAGGTGATCCACCCGCCTAGGCTTCCCAAAGTGCTGGGATTACAGGCATGAGACACTGTGCCTAGCTTTAATTTTTTTGTTTTAAATGAAATGGGGTCTTGCTATGGTAACCAGGCTTGTCTTGAATTCCTGGGCTCCCGCGATCTGCCCACCTTGGCCTCCAAAAGTGTTGGCATCATAGGCATGAGCCACTGTGCCTGACCCTTTCCCCCAGTTTTTCATGTGTCCCTAATCTTTGTTTATGATGTCATTTGCCAGTGAGAATTTATGGTTTTTTAGTCTGGCCTTGATGTAATGCTTCTCTTGATGTAATGCAAGAAACCTTCTCTTCTCCAAGATTACAGAAGCCATTCCCTTCATGCTGCCCTCTCTCCCTCCATGTAGCAGCTAGAGTGACCTTGGAAACATAGCCCCCTACAATGCCCTGAAATGGCTCTAATCACACTCCAGACCTGAGGCCGGCCTCTGGGCCAACGGCTGTCACGTCCCTGTGGCTCTCCACCTACAAACCTCACCTGCTTTCTTTCTGATCCCCAAACAGGCCCTATGTGTTTGATTTCCTTGCCAGCCTTGCTCCTCCTCTAGGTTGCACTGCAAATCACTCTAGCCCCCATCTATTTAAAAGCTGGCCTCCCTCCTCCCACCCGACCATTCTCTACTGCATCACCTGTTCTTCTGACATGGCATTAAATACTCCACAGATTCTTGTAGATTGTATTAGACCATAAGCCCAATGAGGACAGGGGCTTTTCTGTTCAGACTAATTCTGGCAACACTGCACAATTAAGAGTTAACAGATAAAGGCTAGGTGCAGTAATCCTAGCACTTTGGGAGGCCGAGGCAGGTGGATCACAAGGTCAGGAGTTTGAGACCAGCCTGGCCAACATGGTGAAACCCTGTCTTTACTAAAAATACAAAAATTATCTGGGCGTGGTGGTGTGTGCCTGCAATCCCAGCTACTCAGGAGGCTGAGGCAGGAGAATCGCTTGAACCCAGGAGGTAGAGGTTGCAGTGAGCCAAGATCGTGCCACTGCACTATAGCCTGGGCGACAGAGCAAGACATGGTCTCAAAAAAAAAAAAGAAGGAATTAACAGATAAATACACCTATATAATTTCTCTAGTGATTTAAAATGGCATTTAAAAAAATCACACATTAATTTCTGTTTCTGGTCTCTATCTTGTCCCTTTGATCTATTTGCCTATTATTATGTTTACCTACGTGTATTAATAGCTTTACAGTAAAAAGTAGTTTCATTTTCAAAATAAGTCAGTTTTTAAAAATAAGTCCGTTTTTAAAAATCCTACTGAATTTAGATGTGAATTGCATTAAATTTCTAGGTGACTTTGGATAGAAGTGATCTCTCTGTAATACTGAATGTTTTCTTAGAGGACAGGAATGTTTCTCCACTAAACACTACCGAGGCTCCCTTCACTCTTCCCAGTGAAAGCTGAGAAGTGCCATGTGTCACCAGGCCTGCCTCCTAGTGGCCTTGGTCCACTCGCTCCAGGTCAGCAGGGAGCTCACTGTCACATGCAATCGCCTTTTGGTAAAGATGTCTTCTTGCATTATGACATTATTCTGACCAGGTGTGGTGGCTCATGCCTGTAATCCCAGCACTTTGGGAGGCCGAGGCAGGTGGATCATCTGAGTTCTGGAGTTCGAGACCAGTCTGGCCAACACGGTGAAACCCCATCTCTACTGAAAATACAAAAATTAGCCAGGTGTGGTGGCATGTGCCTGTAGTCCCAGCTACTTGGGAGGTTGAGGCAGGAGAATCAGGAAGCATTTGAACCCGGGAGGTGGAGGTTGCAGTGAGCTGAGATCACACCATTGCACTCCAGCCTAGGTGACAGAGCAAGACTCTGTCTCAACAACAACAACAAAAATCGTTATTCTTACAGATCAGCTTTGAACAGTGCTTGTGCTTGTTTTTAGTTTAAAATAATTTTAAGAATTGATATATCTTTTTTTGAGACAGATTCTTGCTGTTGCCCAGGCTGCAGCGCAGTGGCATGATCTTGGCTCACTGCAAGCTCTACCTCCCCAGTTAAAGTGATTCTCGTGCCTCAGCCTTGTGAGTAGCTGAGATTACAGGGGCGTGCCACCATGCTTGGATAATTTTTGTATTTTTAGTAGAGACAGGGCTTTGCCATGTTGGCCAGGCTGGTCTCGAACTCCGACATCAGGTGATCCACCCACCTCGGCCTCCCCAAAGTGCTGAGATTACGGACGCGAGCTACTGCGCCCAGCCAAGTTTTCCTTTCTTTACATATAAAACACTTATAAATAAAAGTACTTAGAACAGTGTCTGACACATGGTAGGTGCCCAATAAACATTAGCTATGACTGTCTCCAGTATCTACTACACCTTTTACTCTCTTAGCTAAGTGCACTGACTAGCAGTTTCAGAACATAGGATTGCTGATTGATAATGTTATACTTGACTTTATTTTACTACTAAATGTATGCTAACATCTGTATTGAAATTTGGGGTCTAAAAATATTAAGGAATCATCTTTGTAATACTGTATTTTTAAAGCTTAAATCAAGAAGAAATATTTGATTTCTTAAATGTCTTTTCACCATCTACAGATACCATATAATGATTTACGTTAATAGAGGTTGTTAATATTAAACCATCATTGCATTTCTGGAACAAACTCACTTGGTCATGCTTTCTATTTGCTAATATTTTATTTAGATAATTTAAAATCTAGATTATATGTAAGTCTCATAAGAACATCTATAGTTTTATTTGTTAGGGCTATCTCCATCAGGCTTTGGAATCAGTGTTATGCTGGCTTTGAACAGATACATGTATAAGTTTCCTTACTTTGCTCTGGAATATTTCAGAGGGCATAGAATAATTTTATTTCCTGAAGAATTAAAAGAATTTGCCTACAAAACTGTTAGGGCCTGCTGCTTTGAGCAGCATGAGTAGCAGCTAATAATTACTTTCTCAAATTTTTTCTTTGGTTATCAGTCTATGTAATTTCCTATATTCTTCTCCTAAGTCAAATTTTGTTATGTATATTCAAAATACTTGTCATAAAAATATATTTCTATTTTATCCCTATAAAGCAATAGCCAGCCATGTGTCTACTTACAGTGGGATCGGTCCAGAGAGAGCACCTTGAACACTCTTGGCAAGGGGCTCCTGGGGAGCGGGGATGTTGGCAGAAATGGTCATATCCATTGATAGAAACTCGACAGAGGTAGCACATCTGGGCACCACAGCGGCAAGACATGCGGTTGCAGCCTTCAGATTTGATGAGGCCAGTCCCACACTTGTGGCATTTTCTAATGCGGGCAGCAGTCATTTTTTCTTCACTGAAATAAGAAAACATAATTTGGAGCTGGGAGGGATGACGAGGAGGAACAAAATATGGCCATTAAACATTTATTTACACATAAAATGATCACTTATGGTTTTTTGTGACATTAAGCAGTGAAAAGAGCCTAGGTTTTGGAGTCTGAGAACTGCTTCAAAGTTTTAATTCTATGATCTTTGGTAAATTATTCACCTGCATGGAGACTCAGTTTCCTCATTTTTAAACTGTGAAAACACAACTTTCTCATGGTGTTTTGAGGATTACAGACGAAATATAAAGCACCCTGGCACAGTGCCTAGTAACTGGCATTTAGAAAAGGACTGCCCTATTTGTTATAGGAATCCCTGTAGGCTTAAAATGGAGAGAAAAGGCTGAGCATGGTGGTGCACGCTCCGTTCCAGTGTAATCCCAGAACTTTGAGAGGCCAAAGCAGGAAGATCGTTTGAGCTCACGAGTTTGACACCAGCCTGACCAACATGGTGAAACCCTGTCTCTACTAAAAATACAAAAATTAGCCAGGTGTGGTGGTGCACACCTGTAATCCCAGCTACTTGGGAGGTTGAGGCAGGAGAATTGCTTAAACCTGGGAGGTGAAGGCCGCAGTGAAGTGAGACCGGGTCACCACTGCATCCCAGCTTGTGTAACAGAGCGAGACTCCATCTCAAAAACAAACAAACAAACAAAAAACCACACACACACACACACACACTGTCAAGGAGACAAAATTTAGATAAAGTGCATTTAGTACTATTACCTTAATGAGTCACCTTAGTAGTACATCTGTTTATGATTTTAGTTACTCAGCAACTGTGAAGACACTACTCAATGTTCTACGACTCAAGGTTCTACCTTTTTTTTTTTTTGGGGGATGGAGTCTTGCTCTGTTGCCTGGCCTGGGGTGCAGTGGCTCCATCTCAGCTCACTGCAACCTCTGCCTCCCCGGGTTCAAGAGATTCTCCCACCTCGGTGTCCCGAGTAGCTGGGATTACACGCACCCACCACCATGCCCGGCTAATTTTTTTTTAATTTTAGTAGAAATGGAGTTTCACCATGTTGGCCAGGCTGGTCTGGAACTCCCGACGTCAGGTGATCCACCTGCCTTGGCCTCCCAAAGTGCTGGGATTACAGGCGTGAGCCACTGTGCCTGGTCGATTTAAAAAATTTTTTTTTGAGACTCACTGCAACCTCCATCTCCTGGGTTCAAGCAATTCTCATGCCTCAACTTCCCAAGTAGCTGGGATCACAGGTGCGTGCCACCATACCACCACACCTGGCTAATTTAATGCCCGGCTAATTTTTGTATTTTTGGTAGAGATGAGGTTTCGCCATGTTGGCCATGCTGGTCTCAAACTCCTGACCTCAAGTGATCCGCCTGCTTCGGCCTCCCAAACTGCTGAGATTACAAGTGTGAGCCACTGCGCCCGGCTAGACTCAAAGTTTTTTTTTTTTTTTTTTTTTTTTTTGAGACGGAGTCTCGCTCTGTCGCCCAGGCTGGAGTGCAGTGGCCGATCTCAGCTCACTGCAAGCTCCGCCTCCCGGGTTCATGCCATTCTCCTGCCTCAGCCTCCCGAGTAGCTGGGACTACAGGCGCCCGCCACCGCGCCCGGCTAGTTTTTTGTATTTTTTAGTAGAGACGGGGTTTTACCATGTTAGCCAGGATGGTCTCGATCTCCTGACCTCGTGATCCGCCCGTCTCGGCCTCCCAAAGTGCTAGGATTACAGGTTTGAGCCACCGCGCCCGGCCGACTCAAAGTTCTAATGAAAAACTTTTCAATTTGAAAAGCTATATGCCCAAACACAACTGCAATTTTCTACAGCACAAACCTCCTTTGTAAGAGCACCCTGAGACTGAGGTGTGGCTTTAAGTTGCGGCACTCTAGCTGCCTGGGGCTGGCTGACTTTCCCTGGGAAGCTGCTCAGGGAGAGAAGAGGCTGTAAAAAATTAAGGTTACAGTCTTTTCATGAAGGCTTGGAAAGACGGTCTACTTGCTTGCTCATCCTGGCACTGACATGAAACAATAATGGTTATGGAGGGAGAAGAAAAGGCTCCCCTAAAATGGACAGAGGAATACATAAAGCATGCCTGCAACTCAACATTGCTGAAATGTTCAAACAGCTATTCAACACTGCACATCTACTCAAGTCCTTCGCTTCTGCATTTGTAAGTGTACTACTGGATAGGGCCAGAATGGAGTGTTGTTATGGGATGTGGTGACCACCTAGCCAGTAATATAAAAGTGAACAGTGAAACGGGAGAAAAATCATGGTTCATTCCTTCAGATAAAAGGTGGTTTGGCAACTAGATTCTCAATCAGGCAGGAAACAGCCTCGCAGGATGTGCTCCTGGGGCAGGACAGGAAGAGAAGCCGGAGCTGTGACTGTGGTTGCTGACCTTGCGCTCACACAGGAAGGCTCAGGGCCTCCTCTACGCAGTCAGCGACAGCCCACACTCCTGTAGTTATCTGCGCTCACCACCAGCCAGTGTGTGGGTAACTCCTCTCTGGGAGCCATGCCCTTCAGATCTTAGCCCATCCCCTTTGTGAGTGTGAGGATGCATGTGTGTATTTATTGTTTTGTTGTGGTAAAATGCACATAAAATTGACTTTTTAAACCATTCTAACATATGCAATTCAGGGATATTTTGAGTATTCATGATGTTATACAATCAATATCACCACCTAGCTCCAAGAGACTTTTAAAACCCCAAAAGGAAACCCTGTACCCATTAAGCAGGCATTCCCCATTCCTCCCCGCCCTGCAGCCCACAACTTGCTTTTGGGCTCTATAGATTGCCATTCTGAGGCCAGGCGAATGCCCATATACCTCTGATATTTCATAGGAATGGAAATCATACATGTGCTTTTGTGCCTGTCTTCTTTCACTTAGCGTGTATGAATATATCACATTTGTTTATTCATCAGTTGATGGATTATTTTTGCTTTTTGGCTATTGTGAATTGTGGTTAAATAAACATTCTTGCACAAATTTTGTATGGACACTTGTTTTCACTCATGTTGGGTGAGTACTTGAGAGTGGAACTGCTGGGTCATGTGGTAATTCTATGTTTAACTTATTGGGGAAAGCCAACTATTAACTATGGTGGCCGTACTATTTTCTACTCCCACCTCAATGTACACTGGTGTCACTTCTTCTATATCCCTGTCAACATTTGTTTTCTTCCACTGTTTTCATTAGTCATCCTAATAGGTGTGAAGTGATATCTTACCATAGTTCGATTTGTATTTTCGTAATGACTAATGACATTCAGCATGCTTTCATGTGTTTGTTGGTCATTCGTACATCTTTTTGGATAAATACCAATTCACATTGTTTGCATTGTTTGCCCATGTTTTTTTTTTGAGACAGAGTCTTACTTTGTCATCCAGGCTGGAGTGCAGTAGTATAGTCTCAGCTCACTGCAACTTCCGTCTCCTGGGCTCCAGTTATTTCCCACCTCAGCCTCCTGAGTAGCTGGGAATATAGGTTAACGCCACTATGCTGTTATTTTTAAATTTTTTTTACAGACTGGGTTTCACCATGTTGTCTAGGCTGGTCTTAAACTCCTGGGTTTAAGCTATCTGCTTGACCTTGGCTTCTCAAAGTGTTGGGATTACATGCGTGAGCCACTGTGCCTAGCTGTTTGCCTATTTCCTTTTCTTTTTTTTTTTTGAGACGGAGTCTTGCTCTGTTGCCCAGGCTAGAGTGCAGTGGCGTGATCTCAGCTCACTGCAACCTCCATTTCCCAGGTTTAAGCGATTCTCCAGCCTCAGCCTCCCGAGTAGCTGGAACTACAGGCATGCGCCAGCACGCCTGGCTAATTTTTGCATTTTTACTAGAGATGGGGTTTCACCATATTGGCCAGGCTGATCTCGAACTCCTGATCTCATGATCCACCCGCCTCAGCCTCCTAAAGTACTGGGATTACAGGCATGAGCCACCCCGCCTGGCCTGTTTGCCTATTTTCTGACTGGGTTGTTCCCTTACTGCTTTCTTGGCTTTGAACAATTTGACTCTGATGTATCGTAGTGTGGACTTCTTTTGAGTTCATCCTACTTGGAATTCATTCAGCTTCTTGGATGTATAGATTCTTGTTCTTCATCAGATTTGGGAAGTTTTCAGTCATTATTTCTTCAATATTCTTTCTGTTCATTTTGCTCTCTGTTCTCCTTTGGGCTTCCCCTTAATGTGAATATTGGTACATCTGATGATGTTCTATAGGTCCCTTAGGCTCTATTCACTTCTCTTCATTCATTTTTCTTTCTGCTCCTCCTCCAATTGTATAATTTCAACAGCTGTATCTTCAAGATCTCTGATTCTTCGGCCTGCTCAAATCTGCTTCTGAATTCCTCTAATGGAATTCAGCTCAGCTATTGTAATTTTGGGGTACAATATTTGTTGGTTTCTTAATTTCTTTTTTTTTTTTTTTTTGAGATGGAGTCTTGCTCTGTCGCCAGGCTTGTGTGCAGTGGCGTAATCTCAGCTCACTGCAACCTCCACCTCCCAGGTTCAAACGATTCTCCTGCCTCAGCCTCCCAAGTAGCTGGGACTACAGGCATCCACCACCACACCCAGCTAATTTTTGTGTTTTCAGTAGAGACGGGTTTCACCATGTTGGCCAGGCTGGTCTTGAACTCCTGACCTCAAGTGATCCGCCCATCTCGGCCTCCCAAAGTGCTGGGATTACAGGCGTGAGCCACTGCGCCTGGCTGGTTTCTTAATTTCTATCTATACTCTCTACTTGTTCATACACTGTGTTCCTGGTTTCCTTTAGTTCTTTGCTCATGGTTTCACCTGGCTTTCTGAGCATATTTAAGACAGCTGATTCAAAGCATTTGTCTAGTACACCCAATGTGTCCTCAGAGATGGTTTCTATCAACTACTTTTTTCCCTGTGAATGGGCCATACTTTCCTGTTTGCTTTATACATTATTATTGAAAACTGGATATTCTGAATATTATACTATGAGAAGAGCCTAGACATCAGGTTGCTTTTTGTAAAGTTTGTGATTGTTTAGTGACTTTTAAAAGTTATTTTTGTAAATTGGCCAAGCATGGTGGTACATGCTTATAATCCCAGCTACTCGGGAGGCTGAGGCATGAGAATTGCTTGAGGCCAGAGGCGGAGGTTGCAGTGAGCTGAGATCTCACCACTGCCACTGCACTCCAGCCTGGGTGACAGGGCGAGACTCCATCTCAAAAGAAAAAAAATAAAAATAAAAATAAAAAGCGGGGCCAAGCGTGGCGGCTCATGTCTGTAATCCCAGCACTTTGGGAGGCAGAGGAGGGTAGATCATGAGGTCTGAAGATCGAGACCATCCTGGCTACCATGGTGAAACCCCATCTCTACTAAAAATGCAAAAAATTAGCTGGGTATGGTGGCACACATGGCACATATCTGTAGTCCCAGCTACTCGGGAGGCTGAGGCATGAACCTGGGAGGTGGAGCTTGCAGTGAGCCGAGATAACGCCACTGCACTCCAGCCTGGGTGACAGAGCAAGACTTCATCTCAAAAAGAAAAAAAAAAAAAAAAAGGCCGGGCACGGTGGCTCAAGCCTGTAATTCCAGCACTTTGGGAGGCCGAGATGGGTGGATCATGAGGTCAGGAGATCGAGACCATCCTGGCTAACACGGTGAAACCCCATCTCTACTAATAAACACAAAAAACTAGCCGGGCGAGGTGGCGGGCGCCTGTAGTCCGAGCTACTCGGGAGGCTGAGGCAGCAGAATGGCGTAAACCCGGGAGGTGAGCTGAGATCCGGCCACTGCACCCCAGCCTGGGTGACAGAGCAAGACTCCGTCTCAAAAAAAAAAAAGAAAATGCAGGGGACAGAAGAACAAGTTAAATAATACCATGGGAAACCAGCCAACTCTAGAAGACATTCTACAGGCCAATTATCCTTACTTTTTTCAGTAAGTGAATGGCATAACACAGTGTGTCGGGAAGAGAGAGTATCCTCATTAAAAGAGACTTAAGAGAAATAATTATCAAATGCAATGAATCTCGTTTGATCCTAACCTGAACAAACTAACTGCAGTACACATGTAAAGCTAATTTGAGATAATTAGCAGAACTGTGAAATTAGTACGAGATATCAAAGACTTAAAATTTTAATTTTAGTATTGTTAGTGGTCATAAAGGTAAGCGCTACAGAAGAAAAATTTTTATGGGAGAAATGACATGCTGTCAGGGATTTGGATTTGCTTGAAAGTACTATAGCAGTTTAAAAATAAGAAACGGACGGCCGGGCGGGCGCGGTGGCTCACACCTGTAATCCCAGCACTTTGGAAGGCTGAGGCGGTGGGATCACTTGAGGTCAGGAATCGAGACCAGCCTGGTCAACCATGGCCAACAAGGTAAAGCCCTGTCTCTACTAAAAATTCAAAGATCAGCTGGGTGTGGTGACAGGCGCCTGCAATCCCAGCTACTCGGGAGGCTGAGGCAGGAGAATCGCTTGAACCCGGGAGGCGGAGGTCACAGTGAGCCAAGGCACTCCAACCTAGTTGACAGAGGGAGACTCTGTCTGAAAAAAAAAGAAGAAAAGAAAGAAAGAGAGGGAGGGAGGATCGCTCAAGCTTGGGGGGTCAAGGCTGAGGTGAGCTGTGATTGTGCCAATGCATTCCAGCCTGGATGACAGAATAAGACTCTGTCTCAACAGGGGAAAAAAAGTTCTGACATTTGGCAGGACTCTGTGGCTCTTTGGTCCCAGTGGGGCTGTATGATAAGGCAAGTTGAAGCCCCTGGAACACCCTCTCTCTAAAGAAAACATACCACCAGATTCCTTTGGGCATCTTCAAGACTGGCACCACCATCAAAGACTTGTAAGATGCAGAGGCGATGATTCTCTCATGTCTCTTTTTACTTCTCATTTGGCTTGTACAGAAGAATCGCTCTTGGAGGACAGTGACTCTAAGCTTCAAAAGATGCTGACTAGATGTGGCTGCTGTTCCAGATGTCGTTTCTCACCAGAACAAACAAACAGCCCCGGCAACTGGTATGCCGCGACTGATTTGGAAAATGCTTTTCCTGTCTGTTCAATAATCAGAGAACACCAGCAGCCAGTGAGGACCTTGATTATCTGTCATCCAATAGGATAATACACTGTTCTACCACTTGAACGACACATGCAGATAGAACCTGGTGAACAGGAAGTAGCAAGTATGGTAGGATGTATTAATATGCTACATGAATGCCAGAAGGTGAGAGAGATATCCCTTGAATGTAGGAATGTGCAATCCCTATGAAGTTCTGGTGGTCTGGAGGTCAGGCATGTGTATCATGATATCCCTTCCAAAGCTAGACTCATGAGAGAAGCATCCTCTATCACTAAGGAAGAAGCCCAACATTTGGGAGGCTGTTTTTGATTTTTGGAATCAACATATATCACATTTGGATGTTCTGCTCTTATCCACTTACTGCTGATCTAAAAGGCTGCCAGGTTTAAATAGGACCCAGTGATGGGCTATGTGTGGCAGACCAATATGCTGAGTGGAACCCAGTGACAGGAATGGACAGGACACTCAGAAAGAAGGCTGTGCGTTGTAAGTGATTCTCCTTCCAAGAAACATCTCACAGCCTACTACTGAGTCCTGGGAGTAGTTCAGATGCCTGACCACAGGGCTGCATTCCTTCCTGGAGGCCTGAGGAGAGAGTATCTTTGCTGCTCATTTGGGTTGTTCGCAGAATTCAGTCGTTTGTAGAATTCAGTTGAGGTGGTAGGACCAGGGTCCTACAGGGTTGGTGGCTCACGCCTGTGAGCTGGGTTGTGGCTGTCCGCTGAGGGTTGTTCCTAACTTCTACAGGCTGCCTCAATCCTTGGCTCATGGCCACCTTCATCTATCTTCAAAGCCAGTAACGGGGGGCGGTCAAGTCCTTCTTACGCTTGTCTGACTCTTCATCCCATACTAAGGGCTCTCTGCTTTTAAGGATTTGTAATTAGACTGGGTCTACTCGGATAATCCAGGTAACCTCTCCATCTCAAGGTCCTTAACGGTACAACCAAGGGCAAATCACGTGGGCTCAGTTGCCTCATCTTTAAGAGGATAATGGTATCCACCTGTGCTGCATACTTGGGAAACTGCCCAAATTGCCACTGCCCACTTCATTTTCTGAGTACCAAACTCCTTCCATATCCATTATATTTAAACTGGACATAAAGTCACCCAACTACAGGCTACATATGGTGCTTGCCTTGCCCATGTGATAATCTAGACCAATGTGGTACGAGCCGAAGTGAGATATACATATATAATTACTGTATCACTCACAACATCAAGAAAAGCTGCCTACTTGGCAACTTACCTATTTCCCACTTTCTTTAGGTTTGAGTGTAAATGTGGCCACAATCTAGTTATAATCATGCAGATGAGACCACCACCCTCAGGGAAGGGTAAAGCAGTTAGACAATCTCTTTTTTTCTTTTTTGAGATAGAGTTTCCCTCTGTCGCCCAGGCTGGAGTGCAGAGGTGCGATCTTGGCTCACTGCAACCTCTGCCTCCCTGGTTCAAGCAATTCTCTTGCCTCAGTCTCCTGAGTAGCTGGGACTACAAGTGCGTGCCTACGACTTCTGGATAATTTTACTTTTTTATTTTTTGTAGAGATGAGGTTTTGCCATGTTGCCCAGGCTGGTCTCAAATTCGTGAGCTCAAGCGATCCGCCTGCCTTGGCCTCCCAAAATGCCAGGATTACAGGCCTGAGCTACCACGCCTGGCTGTGAGACAATCTCTGAATAACATCAGGAGACAGACATGCACTCTCAGCTGCGTGGCAAGTCTAGATTGTTACGAGAGAAAGAGATTTCAGTAGTACTTTAGTCATTGCATTTATTTATTTATTTATTTTTTTGAGACAGAGTCTCACTCTGTTGCCAGGCTGGAGTGCAGTAGCACGATCTTGGCTCACTGCAACCTCCGCCTCCTGGGTTCAAGTAATTCTCCTGCCTCAGCCTTCCGAGTAGCTGGGATTACAGGCAAGTGCCACCACCCAGCTAATTTTTGTACTTTTAGTAGAGATGGGGTTTCGCCATGTTGGCCAGGATGGTCTCGATCTCCTGACCTTGTGATCCACCAGCCTCGGCCTCCCAAAGTGCTGGGATTACAGGCGTGAGCCACAGCACCCGGCCTGCATTTTAATAAGTGAGTATCTGTAACGTGCTCAGCCACGTAGAGAGGACTATACAAGTAATGGTTATTATTATCACAGGTGTATCATTTTGTATTCTGGAGGTGGGCAATTCTACTTAGGTCTCAGACCAATAGTATCCTGTAACACAGACACAAGCAACATCAGTGCAGTCTAAGCTAATTAAAACATGCTACTCGCTTATTTAGAAAATAAGGAAAAGGGGGACCATCGTTTATTGAATTCACATGTGCCAGGCATTTATATGTTAATTTGTCTACTGAAATAACTCCATGAGGCTGCAGAGATGAGGAAGCAGAGGCTCAGGGGTTAGGTCACTTCCCCAAGATCACTCCAGACTCGGCTGGCTCAAGCGTGTTCTTCCCACAATAGTGTGCCCTCTCTGCCAAAAAGCAGGTTAATGGGGAAGTTGAGAATCAGCCCATAGCCCCTCTGAATTCTGTTACTCACATAGAGGTACGGTACTTGATGTCATCTTTTTCAGCCAGCTCTTCACAGGTGAGGCCATTATGTTCTTTCCAGAGTCCCTGACACTTCCTACAGGTTTCCTGGGGATAAAGGACAGACACAAAGACAACTCCTGGTGAGTGGACACCACAGAAGTTCCTGTTCAACAAAAGGGATATGAAATGAGCTTTACTTGGCTTGAATTATCTCAGGATGCCTCTCCTTTTCAGGGGGGATACTTCTAAAGACATCTTTTAATAGAAGAGGTAAGAGGTGGCAGGGCCAGGTGACTCATGTCTGTAGTACCAGCACTTTGGGAGGCTGTGGCAGGTCAGGAGTTTGAGACCAGCCTGGGCAACACAGTGAGACCCTGTCCCTTAAAAAAAGAGAAAGAGTTGGGGAAGGTGAGGGGAGTGGTAAGAATCATTAGAAGGATGCACAAGGAAAAATTTCTCTCCCTAGATCAAAAGGAAGTGTTGCTCCCATCACCTAATTTGCATAAGGCTTTTTCTAAAATGCTCTGGGCCATGTGAAAAAACCAAAGGAGACGGATCTTGGGCAATCGTGGGTTTTTAAAACACAGTAGCACGAGCTGCTTGGAACGGCCTGTCTGGATCTTGTTAATCTCTGCAAAATCCTTGTGCCCACATGTTGGCATCCAAAATGCGCTTCTACTGGATTGAAGAATGGCCTACTTCAGGCTGGGCGCAGTGGCTCAAGCCTGTAATCCCAGCACTTTGGGAGGCCGAGACGGGTGGATCACGAGGTCAGGAGATCAAGACCATCCTGGCTAACACGGTGAAACCCCGTCTCTACTAAAAAATACAAAAAACTAGCCGGGGGAGGTGGCGGGCGCCTGTAGTCCCAGCTACTCCGGAGGCTGAGGCAGGAGAATGGCGTGAACCCGGGAGGCGGAGCTTGCAGTGAGCTGAGATCCGGCCACTGTACTCCAGCCTGGGCGACAGAGCGAGACTCCGTCTTCCTAAGGGAGACTTTCCTCCGCTGCCCATCGCTCATCAGCATGGATGTCACACTTAAAAGTTTCACTTCAGACTGGGCATGGTGGCTCATGCCTGTAATCCCAGCACTTTAGGAGTACGAAGTGGGCAGATCACGAAGTCAGGAGATTGAGACCATCCTGGCTAACTGAAACCCCATTTCTGCTAAAAATAATAAATAAATAAATAAATAAATTAGCCGGGCTTGGTGGCGGGCACCTGTAGTCCCAGATACTTGGGAGGCTGAGGCAGGAGAATGGTGTGAACCCGGGAGACGGAGCTTGCAGTGAGCCGAGATAGTGCCACTGCACTCCAGCCTGGGCAAAAGAGTGAGACTCCGTCTCAAAAAAAAAAAAAAAAAGTTTCACTTCATATATAAACATGCATGCTAAATAATCACCACCTTTATTCTAGGATCCTTTATAGATTATAAAATGCTTTCATATGTCCAGAAACTATCCCACTAATAAGTTATATAACTAATAAGTTATCCTGACAGTGCTGTCAGTTTTAAGTGGGGAACTGACCTAGTCTGGGGAGACAGTGAAGGCTTGAGGAAGTGAAGCCTGAGATCCAAAAGACGAGTTAACAACAATTAGATGGGGCAGCGAAAAGAGATCAACACTCCAGACAATGGACAGCAAGAGAAGACTCTGGCAGGCAAAGCCAGACATGTTCAGTTCCTATGGCTGGACTGCAGACAGTGAGAACGGCCCTGGAGGCCTGTAAGCACCTGACCAGGCAAGGCCTTGAAGGGCATGAGGAGCAGTTTGTTCTTTATCCTATGAGCACTAGGAAGCCACCAAAAGGTGCCAAGTATGGAAGTAACAGAATCAGGTATATCTTTTAAAAAAAATAATTCTGGGTGGAAAACACTGGAGGGAGGAAAGAGTGAACGTGCAAAAGACAGGAGCTAGTAAAACCACTCGGGAAAGAGGCCACCAACGCCCAGACCAGGGTGGTGGGCAAGGACAGGAAGACAAGGGGACTGACTTGAGAGCAAGGAAGGAAGTACGACTGGCTGGTGTGGAGACAAGCCGCTGTGCCTGGCCCTTTTGTACATTCTGAATTTTATACTATATGTGTACTATCTAATAAAAAGAATTTAAAAAGGGAGACAAATGGAACAGACTGCTGAGGGAGCTGAGAACCTGATCCTTTTGGTGGGATGTCGTAAAAAGGCTCAATCAGGCTGGGCACAGTGGCTCACACCTATAATCCCACACTTTGGGAGGCCAAGGCAGGCAAATCATTTGAGGTGAGAAGTTCGAGACCAGCCTAGCCAACATGGCGAAACCCCATCTCTACTAAAAATACAAAAATTAGCCAGGCGTGGTGGCTGGTGACTGTAATCCCAGCTACTTGGGAGGCTGAGGCAGGAGAATCACTCGAACCTGGGAGGTGGAGGTTGCAGTGGGCAGAGATCACACCACTGCACTTTAGCTTGGGCAACAGAGCCAGACTCCATCTCAAAAAAAAAAAAAAAAAGGCTCAATCAATGGGCTGGGGTGGGTGGGACAGAGAGGAACTGAAGGGACATACTACATTTAAATGCCACCATTTCCGAGGGATGCGGAAGTGCTCTGGTCCCCCACCTGCATCCCATTCAGTAAACAAAGGTGATACATATTAGTGTGCCTATTGCCCACCAAAACATACAGTAGCAAAAACCCATTTTTCTAAGACCTTGTGCCTGACTATCGCAGGAAGCTGGAGGATAAACAACAGCTGGAGAATAGATGAGCTGATGTTTGGCTCCTAACCTCTAAAACAATGCCAACCCAGCCCCTTCCAGGAGTAACAGCTTGAAAACAATACATGGCATTTAGACAGTTTTTAGAATTCCTGGCAATTCCGTTATTAATTCATGGGTCTTCTTCACAAGGGAAGAAACCCCATTTTTGAAGTGAGGCACAGGCCCACAAGGGCAAAATGGCCTGGCCAAGCTGGAACCAGGTGTGTGTGAGGGCCACTGTGAGGCCCTCTGCCCTGCTCACCCTCTACATCACAGTGCTGCTTCTGTAGGTGAACGTGGGTTTTCAGCCAGGGCGCTTCTTACTGAAGAGCCCAAGGGACCCTGGAGAACACAGCTGAAATGTCTTTTGAAAAGACTATGTAGCACTTTGGGAGGCCGAGGCGGAGGGATCACCTGAGGTCAGAAGTTCGAGACCAGCCTGGCCAACATGGGTGAAACCCTGTCTCTACTAAAAATACAAAAATTAGCCGGGCGTGGTGGCACATGCCTATAATCCCAGCTGAGGCAATCCCTGTGAGGCTGAGGCAGAATTCCTTGACGCAGGGAGGCAGAGGTTGCAGTGAGCAGAGATCGCACCACTGCACTCCAGCTTGGGCAACAGAGCAAGACTCTGTCTCAAAAAAAAAAAAAAAAAAAAAAAGACAAGACTATGTAGCTAGATACGAAACCTACAATTAAAATAAGGCAAGCAAACAGCAGGCTGCGGAGTTTAACACTTGGAGCTCTCTCTGTGTAGTGTCTTTAAAATGTACTCTCTCTTCTAAGAAGTATAAATTTTACTAAATTGTAGTTCCCTCCTCTCAGGCACAGATAGGCTTTGCTCCTAAACTCAACAAATGCTTATGCATATTAGGAAGAAATGCTCTTGAACGTTTTTTCTTTTCTTTTCTTTATTTTTTTTTGAGTCAGGGTCGCACCCTGTCACCCAGGCTGGAGTGAGATCTCGGCTCACTGCAACCTCCATGTCCTGGGCTCAAGCGATCTCCCACCTCAGCCTCCTGGGTAGCTGGGACTACCAGTGCTCATGCCTGTAATTCCAGCACTTTGGAAGGCCGAGCGGGGCGGATTACCTGAGGTCAGGAGTTCAAGACCAGCCTGGGCAACATGGTGAAATCTCGTCTCTACTAAAAATATGAAAATTAGCTTGGCATGGTGGTGGGTGTCTGTAATCCCAGCTACTCCGGAAGCTGAGACAGGAGAACTGCTTGAACTCAGGAGGTGGAGGTTGCAGTGAGCCGAGATCGTGCCACTACACTCCAGCCTGGGTGACAGAGCAAGATTCAGTCACAAACAAACAAACAAAGTGCTGGGATTACAGGCGTGAGCCACTGCGTCCAGCCTCTTGCATGTTTAACATGATAACCACATTCTTCAATCTGTGGTTTACAAGAAAGCCCCAAAGGACCATATTGGAAGGCAAAGTATACTTTGACAAGTAACCTCAAAACAAGAAGAACAGTGTATCGTGGCCATCGAGCGGGACCACACTTTCTATCACCTTGTGCCTTTCCGATTGGGGGAAACCGCGGAGTTTACCATCATCCCAAATACAACAAGCAGGCAGGCAGCTCCCGCCCTCTCAGTGGGGAAGGAGCATGCATGTTGGGTAGTTTGTTAACAAACAGCCACCAGGCCACATTCTTCATGTCATCAGGGAGGTTGCTGTTTAAGTTTATGATGCCCTTTTGTCCTCAAAATACATTAAGGTGTTTTGACTGTTCATGAGGTCTTCACTTTACAACATAAACACTTCAGTCTTCCTTTATTCATTTACTGCTGCCTGGATAATGATTAATGAATAAAGCAGAAGATTAAATTCAATTCCAGATGACCTTATCAGGGAGCTGAAATTTCTTCACATAAACACAGCTTTCTCAAGTAGTAGACAAATGTATCCGGCCATCACCTCCTCCAAGCCCAGCAAGTGATGATAATCTTGAGACCTTTGGGTCTGTTGGTAAAGAACCCAAAAGAAAATCTGAGCCCACAAGCCAGTCACCGGGTTCTGTGTTTGTTTCCTTGCCTTCCTTGCGAAGTCACCTGGAAGGTGTCTGTCCCTGTGCGTGCTAGATTTCAGTTGCTGACTTCCATCCACCCTTGTCTCAGAAGCAGAATACAGTACAAACTGCTCCCTTACTTTTAAAATGGTTCCTCCAGTGAAACCTGTCAACTAACTCTCTAGGGGAGAGAAGTCACTGACATGCCACAGGGCATTAGGCTGTGGTCAATCCAGAAGTAGCTTCAGAAATTTCAGCCCTCTGTTCTGTCACCTCAAACAATGGTGAGACTGGGCCGGGCGCGGTGGCTCACGCCTGTAATCCCAGCACTTTGGGAGGCCGAGGCGGGT